TCTCACAAACTCGAAGCATTTTTATTTCTATTTCACGTGATTGAAATTATTATCTTAAGCATTATGCAGTATATATGCTGCAGGATTCAGAGGATAGCCTATTATTCACAAATAACACGAAACCCAACAATTCACCTCATGTAGGAGCGATTTTTTCACGATTCGCTCACCATATATCATTCTGTGCTTCTTTTACATAATTACATCAATTCATTCATGGCATCCACTCCCCTCGAACCCGTGTGAATTATAAACGCGAACCACCCAAACAAATATTAAAATGCCTAAAGGAGGTTCTTAGCAGCATAAGGACCACTAGTATCAGCGAAAACATGTTTGGCAAGATCAAAATTAATTAGCAGCCGTGGAGCACCGCCTGCATCCATTTTGACCTCTATATACACAACGATATATATAAAAAGAGCTCAATGACTTTGCGTTGCCGAGAATACACCAACGTGAAGCATACAGTATTAAAGGGACACTAACCAATCTGAGTATTTGATGGGATCAGGAACTTGTTTCATTCAAAGCAGTTTCTCCAACCTGCCTTTGAGCTGGAGCACGAAAACAATTGAATCAGATAACGTGGGGAAAACACAGGCACCTCTTTCGTTTGGAGCAAGTTCAGTTCCGCACCTTCACATACAGCAAGAAGATCCCTAAGATGGCCATAATCCCTCAAAGTTTCCTCAGTGAGTCTTTCTACAGTAGTCCCTTTCTATTTGACATAACAACATGAATAGTATTGTAAATAGGAGCATGAAAAACTATAAGGTAGTGTTTGGATGTAGATATTGGAGCCCAGACATTGGAATTGGAATCATGTTTCCTCAATATTGTTGTTTGGATGCACATGGAATTGAGATTTGGCATTGAAGACCCAATTCCTTGGTATTGAACTATAACTGAAAGGGGCCTATCCCAATACAGAGCCTGACCCCTCCGTATTGAGTGGAATCGGGCCCGACTGCCTCTTCACCGTGCGCGAGCGCCCTCTTCTCTGTGGCCGGCGAGCGCCCTCTTCCCCTCGGCAGCGGGCCAGTGGCCTCTTCCCCATTAGTAGCGGGCGAGCGGCGGCGTGAGTGGCCTCTTCCCCGTCGTCGACGGCCAGCGCCCCTCTTCCCCGTGGCCGACGAGTGCCCTCTTCCCTTCGGCGGCGGGCGAGCGGCTGCGCGAGCGCCCTCTTCCCCGTCGCCGCGGCCAGCGCCCCTCTTCCCCGTGGCCGGCGAGGTCCTCTTCCCCATGCCCGGGGAGCTCCTCTTCCTCTTCTCCATGGCCGGCGGAATGAGATCTGCTTCCTCTCCCCCTAGATGACGGCACGACCTCCTCTTCGTCTTCCCCATGGCCGACGACCTCCTCTTCCTCTTCTCCATGGACGGCAGCGCGAGATCCGCTTTCTCTTCCCCATGGACGGCACCGCGGCCTCCTCTTCCTCTCCCCCATGGCCACCGCGCGAGGTCCACCATGACCGGCGGCGCAAGATCCGCCTGCCATGTAGGCCGGGGTCGAGGTCCCCTCGTTGTTGCCAGGGTCAAGCTCCCCCATGGCCGTAGTTGAGCTCCCCTGCCATGGCTCAACATTTAAATTCCATTCTTTTGCATCCAAACAGAAAACGGTATTGAGCTACTTGCTAGGATTCCAAATGCCAATTCAATGATCATCCAAACAATAGTATTCGAATTACAGCCATTTCAATACCATGGCTGCTTGGGTATTGAACCCAATTCAATTCTAGCTCCCCCAATATCTACATGCAAACGGACCCTAACAAATTATGGTGAGTTCAAGTAAAGAAGAATAGTGTCGGGTTTATAAACCCGGGGTCCCTCGCGGACCGGCTTCCCCGCAAAGGCTTGGCCCAAGCAGACAGCGCGCAACTCATGGGCCGGCCCAAGAGTCTAAACAACAGGCCAGAAGGGCGATCCAATCACTGACCGGAAGGTCTAGCCGAGGAGGAGGAGCGCCCGTTTGTCGACTTTGGCCCACCTCTCCGACCGGAGCGCTCACTTCGGTCTCCAGCCGCCTCCAGACGGTCTCTCCACCGATAAAAGGGGATGTGCTCTTTCCCAACATTAGGTCGATTCAAGTAATTCCAGATTCATTAGATCGATCAAGTTTACTAGCTCACAACCACAGAACCACCAGGTTTGGACCTCAAGCACACACTTGAACACTTAGCTCATAGCGGAGCTCCTGTCGCTCTCGGCCCTTCCGACCGGAGCCGACCGGACCTCTTGTACACCCCATCTTTCTCCTTCTCGTTTGTAACCGCACTGCAAACTTCGAGCACCTGGGCTCAGGAATAAAGTCACCGACCGACTCAAACTGGACGTAGGGCACGTTGCCTGAACCAGTATAAACCCTGTGTCATTGAGTGCTAGGCCACCTCCGATCACAACGTACAGCAAAACTACAAATATTTACTTGCTGGTCACTTTCTGCACCGACAAATAGAGTATATCTGGATCATCAAGTAGTCTAAGAGGTGTTGGATCATGGCTTAGAAGGTCCCTCACAGCTTCATTGTATATCTCTATGGCCGAAAATTTCAAAATGAACTCTCTTTCAGGATGTTGCAGCATGGTGAAGAGGTTGAAATGCAAAGAAACACTAGTAAATTCACAATAGAGTTCCAGAAAATATAAAAGTGAAAAACATGAAGATACCTTATCTATGTAGTCATAGATGTCAAGTATACTATACTCTATTATTCCTATCATTGTATAAGTCTTTTCGCTGCTTGTTTGCCCATAGGCAAATATGCCTACGGCCAAGAAGAAGAAATTCATGCCAAAACATGTGTTAGCTCACATTGGTTCATCACCGAAAATGGAAGTGGCAAAACAAAGCTGTTTCTCTTGTGCATACAGTTAATTCCGCTGACAACTGAAAGAGCAACTTCTTTTGCTCCTTCCTCATAAACTTGTCGTGTAGAGCAACTGGGGCCAAACACCCTATCTGATGGGGACAAGAAACAAGCACAATGTGAGCAAACAACAGCCAGTAAAATATCTAAAGAACACCAACTCCTCCTTTTTGTTCCAAAAAAACACCAACAATTTAGTGAACACCACTACAACTGGTAAGTTAAGGTATCCTGAATTTTGCAACAAAAAATGAACTGAGCTCTGCTGCTGCTAGTCACTGTAGGTGTAGGCGGTGGGGAACTAATAAATTCTAATGGAGTGATAAAAAGCTCTAAGCCTAGAACAATACGAAGTAGTACCAATGAAGATGAGGAATGCCCATGATTGTTTTCCAGCAGCCAAATAAGTAGGATAAACAAATACATAAAGAGAACAATTATTTCAGATGCGATGCACAGACCATGAGACAAATTTAGCCGGTTGGTTAGTGAAGAGTGAACTAATTAAGCACCAATGCGATGCACAAACCATGCGATGCAAGTAGAACCTGAAAAAGGATCATAGCCAGCACTGAACTTCAGTAGGGATTCTACTGCGATCTGAGATGCACGAATCAGAGAAATGAACAATAGATAAAAAAACACTGAAACTAACCGCTGACACATGGTGCACCAAACTTCAGTAGGGATTCTACAGCGCGCTAATCCTAGGCCAAAACTGATTTTCATCTCCCACAGGCATTTGAGCAAACAAGTGGAGCACATGCTATTGCATACCTTGGAGCACGGGAGTAGCACCACGAAGGCAGCCCCGCCGCTGGCATGGCCTAGCGAGCGCCGGCAACAGCAGGGGCGGGGCACGAAGCACTACCCGGCGTCGTCTGCAGCGCCGCTGGCCGCGTCCTCCTCTTCCTGCTCGGCCTTGCCCCAAGCCTGCGCTGTCGGAGTAGGTGCACCGTGGACACGCCGAACGCAGGCAGCAGCAGGCAGCACGCCGTCCTCCTCCACGGTGTCGATCCCCGCCATGGCTGTTGCGGGCGGGCTGGCGGCGCGGGGCGAGGCGGGCGCGGAGCACGAGAAGGGGAGCGGCACGCGGAGTGAGAGTCGGGGACGGCGTTGCCGCCGCCAACTTCGCCACCTCGGACCGCCGCGTCTGCGAGCGCACCTCGCCGCACGCACCCTTCGGCACTGGGGACGGCCGCCGCCAACGGGAGCACGGACGCCGCTGGGCCCGATCCAGCCTCCTCCAACGCCTTCGCTGGATGTACGCGGTGTCGCCGTTCGCAGGGGACTGGTGAGGACGGATCACGTGCCCTAGTCGCCGCAGCCCTGCCCTTGTGCTCGCCCTCTCCCTTGCAGCCGGCGCTGCCGCAACACGAAGTCAATCGGTGAGAAGGAGGAACAGAGAGACGAGAGAGGGTTGGCATGGCCTGTACCTCATAAATACGTGTGACAAACTATACTAATTCAATTCAATTGTCCCCATACTACTCAAACATTATTTTTTATTATAAATTTATCATTCTACCCTTAACTATATAAAAGAAATTCAAAAATAGAATTATCACATTATTTTTTTAGGTGTTGATCCCACTAATTTTAGTATGCATTTAGTGCGTATGTTCCCACCATTTAGTACGCACTTATGGCTTCCGGTCGGATCGCTCCTCATGAGTTGTCTATTTTTCGACAACCATAGTAAAAATTCTCTTGTTATTTATATTAATTGGAATATGAACGTGTTGGTATAATGTTGGTATTTGGCAACACGAACTGTTGGTAACCTTGGCATGCGTAACGTGAACATGAACGTGGTGGCATTTTATTTATTTTGTTTATTTTTTGATACAACGGCGAGCACGCATCCAGAAATTAATGAGTCGAGATTTCCAGCGACGAGTTTTTTATTCTCGAATCTAAAAATTACACAACTAAAACTACAATTTTAATATAAAATATATACAAAAGCTGTCGCCCAGTCCCTTGGTTTTCTCTTGTTTAAATACACAGGTGAATTTTCATATGAGATTTGAAGGATGAGTTTAGTCTTCGGTCTAGTACTAGAAGGCTTGGTAGTTCTAATTTGTAATTTCAACTTAAACTTACTTAGGTACATCGATCTGAAGCAAAGATGAGGCCGTTCGAAAGAGAAGAAACTACTATTGGGGGTTCGCTAACTGACGAGCTGCTGCCCGTGTTCTCCCAGAGCAATAGCGTCGCCAGCAATGGCACGGCGGAGGAGGCAGTACCCGCCGCCGCAGTCGGGGAGGATCTCATGAGCCCGGCCGCCGGTGGGAACGCCCCGCCGTCGCCCTTATTTGCCGCCGGGGACCCTCTCCTCGACGAGCTCCAGCTGCAGGAGCAGCTCGCGTTCCTCAACGACGACGGCCACCACCAGCTGCCCCTGTTCACCAGCGAGTGCCGGAGCCCCGGCGCTGGGCCTGGCGACGCCTACGAGGCCACCAAGGTGGTGTTCTCGCGGATCCAGGCGCTGCACCCGGACCACGCCGCCAAGATCATGGGCTTCCTCCTCCTCCAGGACCACGGCGAGAAAGAGATGATACGCCTCGCCTTCGGCCCCGAGGCACTGCTCCACACCGTCATGGCCAAGGCGCGCAAGGACCTCGGCCTGCTCCCGGCACCCGGCTCCGGCCCGGGGACGCCCACCTCCGTCACCTGCGCCGCCGCGGCGCACTCGCCGTTCCACCTCTCGCGCCAGAACTCCGGCCGCTGCGGCGGTGGTGGTGCCGGCACCGCGCCGTCGCCTCTCTCGGTGTCGTCGCCCTCGTCGTGGGCGCCGCCGCCCGTGTTCTCCAGGAGCAACAGCGATGGCGCGGCGGCGGACGAGGCCTTGGCGAGCATGATTAACCCTGGCTCGCGCCAGATTTACCTCACCTTCCCGGCGGACAGCACCTTCCGCGAGGAGGACGTCTCCAACTACTTCAGGTAACTAACCGTTCCTGTGTTCCACTACCGAACCATGTGCAGTCTCTGACCGGCTCCGGCGATCCACTGCAGCGTCTACGGCCCCGCCCACGACGTGCGCATCCCGTACCAGCAGAAGCGCATGTTCGGGTTCGTCACCTTCGTGTACCCGGAGACGGTGAAGCTGATCCTGGCCAAGGGCAACCCGCACTTCATCTGCGACGCGCGCGTGCTCGTCAAGCCCTACAAGGAGAAGGGCAAGGTCCCCGACAAGTACAGGCATGCCGCGACCTTCCATTTTGCCTTCGTGTGCTTCCCCCTTCTAGGCTTTTCGCTCTACGGCATCATGTCATTGACCGATCGCTCTGCTGCTACTCTGCAGGAAGCAGCATGTCAGGAAAGCACCTGCTCCAAGTGACTGAAGCGGCCGGCGGGAGGTTGATGACGGTTCAAATGGGGAAGCGTTGCGTGTTCGGCTCATGGGCTTGGCCTGTTAGGCGTAGGGGCTCTGCCCATTGATGTAATGAACCTCTGTGTGGCTTATGTGAAAACGAGAATAAACTTCCTAACTGAATTCCCCCTTTCCGCCTCTTTCTGTTCTTCCCTCCAGCTATCCATGTTCGTCACATTTGGTATCTAGAGCTTCGTTCCGAGGGCCCCAGAAATTTTTTCGCTCCGTCGTGTGCGTGCTGGCGCCTGCAAAGAAACCCACCAAGTTCGAGAAGCAGATGGCAGCGACGTTGGAAGATCTGGCGAAGCAGTTTCAGGGATTCCAATCCATGATGAAGCAGACGTTAGACAAGTTGAGCGACCGCGCGGGTGTACCACAGCTCGGACTCCAAGCATCGGATCATCTGACTCTAGCTTTAGACAAGTTCTGTCATCCTTAGAGCATAGATAGTGTTTGGGGGCATCAATAGCCGGAAACGGTACACTCCATTCATCTCAGTCCGAAGTGGGAAATTCTGAAAAGGTAGCTCCTCTAGCACGTACGGGCCTATTTGGTTGGCTACCCAACCCTTAGCCTGGTTTGCTGGAGCCAACTTGAACTTGTTTGGTTGTTTATTGTTGGGCTTTAGCCAGGCCAAAGTGGGCCTCCGTACACGCGCTGGCCTGGCTTCGAAAGAATGGATCGGCGATCCGTTTTCCTGAGGCCTGGCTTGGTCAAGCCGCGTCACCTCCCGACTCCCATGCGGTGTGCGCCGCCGCTCCTCCTCGCTCGCGCGTCGGTGCCGATGTCGGGAGCGGCATCACGGGGGCCTTGGGCGCCACTGGGCGCCTGCACCGTGGCGGCCATGGTGAGGAGGGCGTGCACGGAGAGCACGGCGAGGTAAGAAGCGGCCATTGCGGCGAGGTGCAGAGCAGCAGAGGTGATCATGATCGTGGCCTTGCTGTCGTGCTGCTGCCAACGGTCACCTCAACTTGATAGTCTACTCGGTCGAAGCGGAGACTAGGCAGAGACGGCTGTCGACGGTGAGAGCGCACGCGGCGGCCATGGTGGACGGCTGCGGCGGCAACCGGCACCGGGGACAATTCCGGCGGCTATAGGCGTTGCGAGCAGGCCAGGGTGGTGCACAAGGGCGAGGCGAAGCTGCGTGCAAGAGGAATCGGGCGGAGATGGGGTTGCGACGACGAATTTCGCCGGCGCGTGGAGATTGCCGGCGCTGAAGCAGAAGGGGAAAAAGAGAAGGTTCTACTGTAGTGACTGACAATCCATCTTCCTCTCTCTCGTTCTCTCGATTTTGCAAAATAACTTGATGATTGTCTTTAAGCAAAGTTGTTCATTGATCTGAGATCTCTAACATTGATTAAAGGACCAACATAAAAAACTTGCTGGTTTGAAAGATTCTAAGTTTTGGAAACAGCAAAAACCAACTGAAAACTAAATTCAGACTTGATAGAATGTGCTATAAGGGGTGAAGTTACCAGAAAATAGATAAGGTGATTCTATGCAAGCCAAAGTCAGAAAACCAAACGTACCAATTCTAATCCGAGCTTAGATAGTCCATGCAACCAAAAAAGTGCATGTTGGCTTGCTGAGACGAGACCAAGCCTACCCACGTTTCCATCCTAGCCAGGCTTCAACGCAGACAGGAACGAAACACACCCTACAGCTCCTCCCGTAGCATGGCTAGGTGAGCCACAGCTTGGATTGCCATGTCCACTGAGGTTCCATTGGCCCAAGCATTTGGATCCTCCTCGTCGGCCTCGTTGACTATGCGACCTGGCAGGCAAACCATGGGCTCTTGGCCATGTAGTCCACCGTGCCATGGCCAGCGCATCGAGCATAGACCGCATTATTGCAGACTTTACCTATATTTTCTCTATTAACATAAGTTGAATAACTTATAAATCATCTTAGAACGGAGGGAATATAACTGGCTAATATTTCATATATTCGGTGAACAAAATACATATATTGTTCATGGACAATTGGACATAAACATATCCCTTTCCACTGAAGATTGACTATGGATGGAAATTTAAAAAGAACTCAAATTGCCACAACAAAAAAGAACCTTTTCTTTGCAGGAAAAATATTTCTTTGGGACAACTACACGGCTGCTTTTTGACCAAAATTCAAAGAGCTAATTAGGCTTTGTTTAGATTGCAAATTTTTGCAACCTGGACACTGTAGTACGTTTCGTTTGTATTTGACAAACTTTATCCGATCATTGACTAACTAGGCTCAAAAGATCCATCTCGTGATTTACAATCAAACTGTGTAATTAGTTATTTTTTTTACCTACATTTAATGCTCCATGCATACGTTCAAAAATTGATGTGATAGAGAGAGAGTGAAAAAACTTAGAATTTGGAGGTGATCTAAACAAGGCCTTATCGTAAAATTGAACAGCGCAACAAGTAGGAGTAAGATGATCACATGATGGCACATGCACTGGAAGGGTACTCTTCGTAGCTGAACTTGGTCTCACGCACGATCTTGCACCCGTTGCACCCTCTGCACAGCGACGGCCCGGGGCAGCACATCGGCTGCGGCTGCGGCTGCGCCGGCGCCCAGCAGTTCATGCCGCCGCCGCCGCCATGGCACCACGCGCACCCTCCGCAGAACGGAGGGCCGCCGCACTGCGCCCATTTGAGGACCGCCGCCGCAGGGCGGTTGCGGGTGGTTGTGGACCGGCGGGGCAGGCGCCGGAGCCATCCCCCCCCGCACGGTGGCCACTGAGGCAGCTGGTGCTGGTGGTGGAAGCCGCCCCAGTGCGCCGGGTCGTTGCACGGCCACGGGTAGCAGATGACGCAGATGTTGGCGAACTGCAGGTTCACCGTCGTCGACAGCGGCGCCGCGGCAGGCTTCGCCTTCTCCTTACCCTTCTTCTCTTCTGTGGGCTTCTTCTCCTCGGCAGGCTTCTTCTTGTCTTCTGTGGGTTTCTTCTCCTCGGCAGGCTTCTTCTTCTCTTCCGGCTTCTTGTCCTCCGGTTTCTTCTCCTCTGTCTTCTTCTCTTCTGGAGGCTTGACGATGGTGATGTCCTTGATGACGTCGCAGGCCTTGCATCTCAGTATCTTGGACAGCTTCTTGGGGTCGAAGGCACCGACGACGGTGACCTTGTTCTTCGTGTTTTCGTAATCAATCTTCTTGATGTTCTCCTTGGCTGAAAGATGTTACATGCATGCAAATTCCATCCAAATCCAAAGAGAAAAAAAGAACCAAACTAATGTGAAGCCACGGCCTGAAATAAAATGAAATTCGACTTGATGGATTTACACCACAGGATTTCATACACTGGAGTTTGCAGAGAACTTTCCGAATCTTCTTGTAACACTTCTCGCACTGGAGGTCCACTTCAATGATCAAGGTAGAATCCTAGTAGTAATCAAAGGCGAAACCAAAAAGTTTCAGAAATTAAAAGCTATACACACTGCTAATGCAAATTGTTCTATTTAAAATCAATGTGTGTTAACATGGTAATCGGTAAGGCACAACTAACCTTGGTTGTCATGGTGCGCTGGAGCTGCAGGTACACACTGCTTCAACTCGTCTGCAGAGACGCGGGAAACGAAAGAGAGAAATATATAGGCAGGCGGCGTCTCAATCATGCACTACTTACTACTCAGCAATCTTCCATGAGAGAACAAAATGTTAATCGACTGGTTGGTAAGGAGGAATCTGTAAGCACATTGGAGAGCTTCCAGAACCTAATCTCTTATTATTTTGGCATGATGGGGGGTTCCTAACAACCGCCTTGTGATGCGCCATGATGAGAGCAAAGTGTCTTCGAAGTCCAGAGCATATCGTCTGTCCATTGACACCAGTACGCGCGAGTACTACTAGTATAGTCCCCAAAACGTGGCAGTTGGTTCCGAAACTGCTGCTGAATGCTGAAACCACCAAAACTGATTAACCACTGAAAGTGCGCAGCTTTGCACCTCGACACCCAAGTTATTGACCCAAATTTCTCCTTCGCAGTTCTTTCTTTATACAGTATATACTAGTCCATCAATCAATGCCTATGGACGAGTCAAAATCTTATTATGCATAATGTTTCAGTTAGAAGGTACAAACTTATTTAAAGAAACCACTTATACAAAAATTTTATTGACAAGAAATAACTTAAAGTGAATTGTTAATGCCATTGGTATGTGATTTGTTAAGGAGATATTTTTCAGTCTTGATAAACTATTAAAACAAATATTATTACAATGTATACATGTGCATATGGTGGCACAAACCATTATGTGCTTACTTTATATTTAGTACTGATAGAAGAGTAATTATGCATGTAATTTAGATACAAATTAGAAGTGCTACTCTACCTCCAAAACCATTATTATCTGAGGGGAAAAGACTACTCCAAAACAGTTCGACTGCAGTCAGCAGAGCAGAGCCGGCTGCTACACGGACACGTACGTTAATCCATGGTCATTTCACTGGAGGATATTGTTTTGCAGACGCCACACGAACTCTTGGACGATGTATGCTCGATTTCCTGGATACCTGCATGCATTATATGTCATCACGAGACAGTAAAATAATCCGTCGATCGGCCGCCCTCATGTCGAAATGATCATCGGGTTTAATAATACCTTAAATCCTTAATAATGCATATATGATCATCGTGTGTGTGTGTGTGTGTCTATATATATATATATATATACCTGCCGAGAAGATGGCAATGCAAGCTAGTATGTACAGTGTACAATCTATCAACAATCGTTTCGTTATTAGGCGTGTTGATGGATCAGCTCAGCTTCAGCTCCAAGTCATGGCGCCAACCACCACGATACCATGCATGCTTCCATGTTGGGTAAGCATGATAGCCAGCTAGTCGCTAGTCGTGGCGCCAACCACCACGCCACGAGTGATGACCAGATCCGATCCGGAACGCCGGAACGGAGACACGACGACTTGCCTCGCTAGTCGCAAGGCCTGACGCAGGGGGTGTTTGGCCCTCCTAAATT